GGAAAATGTGTAACGCCAATAAGGAAACGTTTCCGCCCCATAAGGAATATATTCGAGTCGATTGAGTCATGTCTGTCTGTTCGTTCGCCCGTCAATCTTGTTTGACGCCTAGTTCTCAGAAACTACAAAAGCTGGAGTAGTACTCCTGTAATACCGCACTGTTACAAGTGCATTTTAAAATTTTATATACAATCTGTCCGAAAATAAGAGTTTTTTTCAAACACCCTATAAATTTGAAACGTTATTTGAGGGAGCTGTTTTTTGTTTAAAGTGTCAATGGACCATGGACAGAAATTGCTTGCTAGCAAAATGGTATTAAAGCCAGTGAGCTCTCTATGCAAAGCTGATATCCAGAGATAACCCTTGATCAGTAGACCTGAACAAAAAACTAATTTTAAATGACCATTGAATATAAGAAGAATAAGTTTTCTATAAAAATAGTATTGGTATATAAAAAAGCATTACATCGAACTTAGTCGTCGGGGCTTCATGTGCGTGATGTGTTGTACCCTCAATGTTTTGGTGTACCTCCTGGTCATATCCCATTTTGTCGTAGAGGTAAGGATAAATAAACACAAGTGGAAACTATTTGTACGACCAATTACCAACACCTCGTAGATCGCTTGTCGAGTGGAGTTCACGAACGTAAAGTGCAATTCTGTGGACAAGGAGTTCTCCGATTTTGAATATTGTTTTCTGAAATCTGTGAACCGGACCTACAAATATTTATCGCTGAAAGTCAATCTGTTTCAAGTTCCCGTTACCAATGTCTCGGTATGTATGCAAAGGTGAGCGAGCGAATTTTGTTTGAATTTTTTTGCATTTCAGACAAAATTTGGACTATATAAGCGATTCAGTGGATATAAACCATTCCTTTACAATTTAACTGTGGATGCCTGCAAATACCTTAAACATCAAAAATCCTTCCCCGTCGTAAGTTATTTTTATGGTAACTTCAAAGATTTTTCAAATATGAATCATTCATGTCCCTACGATGTAAGTAAAGAGATGATTCTTTGATGATGCAAATATTTATGTATATTCTACAGCATGATCTAATAGTGGATAAGCTTACCATCGAGCAGATTAATAACCGATTCTCAAAATTACTGGCCTTTCCCGAGGGCGATTACATGGTCGAGTCGCACTTTCTGGCCTACGGCATCAACCGTGCGGTGGTTAAAGTATATTTCACCCTTTCATGAATGCTCCATCTCTAAGAAGAAAGAAGTTTATACAATATGCATTAATCATGTTCTTATGTTTTTTTAAACAAATGTTATTTAAATGTAGCACTTATAGTATGTTTAGATTGTTAATGGACAAGGGCAAGAGAATAATTGTTATCCGGATTTAGCAAAATGGCATTAAAGCTACATACATATGTAGTTCTTTATGCAAATCTGATGTCCAATAAGAGTTATAAACTTACATTTTAGCTAAATAAAACAATGTGAGGAAATATTTTATGGCAACTTGGAAATACACTAAAATTCATATTTTTGTCGGAAAAACTTCTTCTATGAATAAAAGTTAAATTGAATATCTCATGAACTAAGAGGTGTATTACCATACACTTTAACATATTCTTGATGTATAAATCAATGCTTTTCATTAGTCCTTCAAGGAAAAATGTTGAGGAGCCTACTATTTTATTTTATATTCTATTTTTATAACCGATACTCAAAATGATTACTGGGGTATATTCGATTTTTTCGGATAATGGATGGAGGAAGTATTTCCGAACTCATAAAGTCTATATATTCTTGATCAGCATCAATAGCCGAGTCGATTGAGCTATGTCTGTCTGTTCGTTCGCCCGTCAATCTTGTTTGACGCCTAGTTCTCAGAAACTACAAAAGCTGGAGTAATACTCCTGTAATACCGCACTGTTACAAGTGCATTTTAAAATTTTATATACAGACTCCTGTGATGACGGTTTATCCTGTTTCTGTTTTGAATCTGTCCGTAAATGAGAGTTTTTTTCAAACACCCTATAAATTTGAAACGTTATTTGAGGGAGCTGTTTTTTGTTTAAAGTGTCAATGGACCATGGACAGAAATTGCTTGCTACCTCGATTCAGCAAACTGGTATTAAGGCCAGTGAGCTCTCTATGCAAAGCTGATATCCAGAGATAACCCTTGATCAGTAGACCTGAACAAAAAACTAATTTTAAATGACCATTGAATATAAGAAGAATAAGTTTTCTATAAAAATAGTATTGGTATATAAAAAAGCATTACATCGAACTTAGTCGTCGTGGCTTCATGTGCGTGATGTGTTGTACCCTCAATGTTTTGGTGTACCTCCTGGTCATATCCCATTTTGTCGTAGAGGTAAGGATAAATAAACACAAGTGGAAACTATTTGTACGACCAATTACCAACACCTCGAAGATCGCTTGTCGAGTGGAGTTCACTAACGTAAAGTGCAATTCTTTGGACAAGGAGTTCTCCGATTTTGAATATTGTTATCTGAAATCTGTGAACCGGACCTACAAATATCTATCGCTGAAAGTCAATCTGTTTCAAGTTCCCGTTACCAATGTCTCGGTATGTATGCAAAGGTGAGCGAGCGAATTTTGTTTTAATTTTTTTGCATTTCAGACAAAATTTGGACTGTATAAGCGATTCAGTGGATATAAACCATTCCTTTACAATTTAACTGTGGATGCCTGCAAATACCTTAAACATCAAAAATCCTTCCCCGTCGTAAGTTATTTTTATGCTAGCTTCAAAGATTTTTCAAATTTGAATCATTCATGTCCCTTCGATGTAAGTAAAGAGATGATTCTTTGATGATGTAAATATTGGATAAGCTTATCATCGAGCAGGTTAATAACCGATTCTAAAAAACACTGCCATTTCCCGAGGGCGATTACATGTCCGAGTTCCACTTTCTGGCCTACGGCATCAACCGTGCGGTGGTTAAATTATATTTAACCCTTTCGTGAATGCTCCGTCTCTAAGAAGAAAGAAATTTATAGAAAATGCATTATTATCATGTTCCTATGTTTTTAAACAAATGTTACCTAAATGTAGAACTTCTAGTATGTTTAGAATGTTAATGTATAATTCAATGCTTTTCATTAGGCATTCAAGCTAAAATATTGAGGACCCTACTATTTTCTTTTATATTTCATTTTTATAACCGATACTCAAAATGGAAGCGATACTCGCCTAGGAGGAAGCGTTTGCGAACTCATAAAGTCTATATATTCTTGATCAGCATCAATAGCCAAGTCGATTGAGACACTTCTGTCTGTCCGTCCGTCCGTCAAGACCAAATTTTGTACCAGGTCAACATGTCAGGTTTTTTTTCTGACTTCAAAATAGCAATATGGGTGGTGAAAAATTCATCAGATTCTCTTAAAACTCGCCATATGATTTTGGTTTCTCCTTCAGGGTCCGAAAAACAACAGTTTCACCGATCATGTTGCGCACCGTGAAATGAATATTCTTTCGCATTTGAATCTGCCCTATTGTTGATTTTTCGTTCACATTGGTCGGGCTGTCGGACATACCGACAAGGTCTAGAAAGTTGGCACGAAAACTGAGTACAGAAAACAAACAGGTCCTGCTACATGGCTTGGGGGCTGGCATAACGCGACAGGGCTATGCCTTTGCCAGGAGTTCGTGAACGCCATTGGCATCCTCAGCTTGTATGTGAGAAACAGTTCGTCAAACCTGTGGAGTGGCTCGAGATGAACATCAACGACATGATCCTGCTGGGCCGCTCGATTGGAGCTATCCAGAACGCGTCAAACATCTTGTGCTGGCCGACCAATGGGGATTCCCCGAGAAACAACAACACCAAACAGATTCCCCGGTGGGTTAATGCCTCAAGTGGTTGAACTATTTAAATAAAGGGGTCTTAAGCGGGCTAAGATCTGTTTTTCATCATACGACACGCTATATTGTTGTTGAGGAACCAAAAATTGAGGCAAAAACAATCAAAGTCAAGTATTGAAATTAAGCCAGTCAGGTAGAAAATAAATTTATTAATTGGATAAAATTATGTGGTCATAGAGGCCCGGTTGACAACATTTAAATCCTTGCCGCTCACATTCAAATTTGGCGCGCACCACTCGGTATATTTTTCAAATGAGACCGTATATTTTGGTATTTATTTGAATCGGGTAGAATCTGTAATAACCGGTTCACAACAATGAGTCCCATTCCATACACAAAAGTTGCGGCAACATTTACTTGAAAACCGTTTTTTGGTCAAAATAAAATACATTAAGGTAATTTAAAGAAGCAATCTTGTAGAAAATGCATTTATCTATGGGATAAAGCTAAGTGGGCAAATCTATATAGCTTGAAATATAGGCAATACCCGATTCGCCGCAGTTTCGCTATTGCAACAATGAGTCTCATTCCATACACCAACATGTTGCTAATTCCATGCACACATACCCTGGGGTAAATGGATGTTATAGAATTGTGAATACGTTTGTCTTCCAAGGCTCAGTAGGTATCAGGATCGAGATAAATATATACAAGATACTAATAATCTACTTTAATATGTCTAAGGAATATCAATTTGAGAAAAGGTCTTAATAAATTACGTTTGATCTACATATAAAATTAACGAAATAGGGTGTACAAAGGCCTATACACGCATCATGTCTTTAAATACCAACAACATTGCGACTGTTTTTTTTGTGGAACTATTTTGTTCAAACCTTGTTTTAGCCAAAATACAATAAAAGCAAGGACTAAAAACTGGCCAGTTAAGTAGAAAATTGATTCATTAATCGTATAAAATTATGTGGGCACGGCTAAAAGTTCTATATATATAGTAATATTCAACAGAATATCAAAATCGAGGAATATGTAAAAATAACTTGAATTCGTCAGTATATTTACGGTATATTTTTTAAATGAGACTGTATATTTTGGTATATTTCTGAGGTATATTTTATCGATAAATCCACGGTCACACTGATCGCGAATTTTGCAATTTCCATGATTTTTGTTCTGATCAATTGTGAATTATTGGCTTTTAAACGGACATAGAAGAGATTAGAAGCTAGGAGGACAGCGTGCCGTCGAAAGAGTAGTAAATACAAAGGAATTCGTACAACAGACGTTTCGAACTTCTTGAGGTCGCGCGTGTGTGCGTGCCTGGGCCTGTGTTGTGCTGCGTGTGTGTTTGTGTGAGCGTGCGAGTAGTGCAAAAGAGACAAAACCGCATCAGACGGAACGAGGTTTTGGTTTTGGGCAAGCATTTTGGACGAAAGCATAAACCCGGGCAGCAGAAATGTCATCGATTGGTGACCAATTGATGGCCGATTCGGCATCCAGCAGCAGCTCGGATGCCCCATTGTGCAAAAAGCGAAGAGTTGAGGGAAAGGCTTCTGCCGATGGTGCCGGGCGAGCATCGAGCAGCGGCAACAACAACTACGAAAATCACGACAAAGCAGCAGGCGCCGTTGACATTTCAAACAAGAGCGAGACAACAACAGAGCAGCAGCTGGAATTGTGTGTATCGTCGTCTACCTCTGACACATGTGCTGTGAATACGATGGCGAAGTGTGCAAACGAAACCGGCAGAGCCGACGACGTCAGTACATCGTCAGCAGTTCAGAAAGAAAGTAGTGGCAGTCAGAAGGAGAGTAAGAATTGTGTGGAAAACAACGACATCGTAGCTTCCTCAGCAGCAGCAGCAGCCGCGGCCCGCACAGTCAGCTCCACCAACAACTCCAACGTCAGTTCCAGCAATAACAGCAACAACACCACCCCCAGCAACAGTAACAGTAATCGGCCTACAGCAGGAGGTAGTATGGCTGCTAGCAACTCCAACGCCGCCGCCGCCGGTGGAGATATCGATGAGTCTCTGTACTCGCGCCAGCTATATGTTCTTGGACACGATGCAATGCGCCGCATGGCCAACTCCGATATACTCCTCTCCGGGCTTGGCGGCCTGGGTCTGGAGACGGCCAAGAATGTGATCTTGGGCGGTGTGAAATCGATCACCCTCCATGACACAGCAACTTGTGGGGTAAGTCTCAATGGAAAATGCTGAACGGGCGGGGGGCGCAGAGAGAACAGCATAGAAAATCGATATTTGGCCTTTAGAGTGCGCGGGAAAAGCCATGGCCAACCCCTCCGCTGCCTTCCCTAGACGAAAAACGCTGCATGATTCATAATTATTTCCCAGAGTCCTTCCTTTGTGCAGTTTTCATTGAAAAGTGCTCCTCCAGCGGAGGCAAGCAGTGCTCCAACTGGGAATTAGGTTAGGTTATAGTGTTCTTCTGTTTCTTTTCACTTACATTAGTAAGCGAAAAATATATTTGTGTAATTTTTTTTCTTCTTTTTTGTCTATTTGCGTCAAAATGTCTGCGCCAAGCGAAAAGTGTGCGAGCGGGACAACTCTATGGCACACGCACACACACGACTGGCGCTGCAAATGTTCTTGCATTCCGTTTTGTGTCGACATTCGCTTTTGTTTTACTTGAGAACTGGACAAAAATTTTACTTTTGTGTGCAGTTCATTCAAGGCTTAGTCACTGTCCCTGTCCACCTTCTCCACCGCGTGTGCTCCTCGCCCTTCTGTTCTTTTTCAATTTCACCATAAAAATGCTCCAACTAATGCGAAATTTTCTTCAATACAGCCCAATGACTTGTCCTCGCAGTTCTACTTGTCGGAGGCGGACATTGGCAAGAACCGTGCCGAGGCCTCGTGCGCACAGCTGGCGGAGCTGAATAGCTATGTGCGTACCGTGTCCCACACTGGACCCCTAACCGAGGAGTTTCTGCGGCAGTTCCGCGTTGTGGTGCTCACCAATTCGGACACAGCCGAGCAGGAGAGAATTGGCAAGTTTGCCCACGAGAATGGCATTGCCCTGATCATAGCCGACACCCGGGGCCTGTTCGCCAAGGTGTTCTGTGACTTTGGCGAGTCGTTCACCATCTACGACCAGGATGGCGCCCAGCCAGTGTCGACCATGATCGCCAGCATCACACACGATGCCCAGGGAGTGGTGACCTGCCTGGATGAGACCCGTCACGGCTTCAACGACGGCGACTATGTAACCTTCTCCGAGGTCCAGGGCATGCAGCAGTTGAACGGCTGCCAACCGATCAAGATAACCGTCCTGGGACCCTACACCTTCAGCATCGGCGACACCAGCAGCTATGGAGAATACAAGAGCGGAGGCGTGGCCACCCAGGTGAAGATGCCCAAGTCGATTAGCTTCAAGTCCCTGGAGCAGGCCAGCAAAGAGCCAGAGTTCCTGATCTCGGACTTTGCCAAACTGGAATCCCCAGCCACCCTGCACGTGGCCTTCAATGCCCTCTCCGTCTACCAGAAGGTCAACGACGGCGCTCTGCCCCGTCCCTGGAACGAGGCGGATGCCAACTGCTTCCTGCAGTTCTGTAAGGAGATCAAGAGCGACGTGGACGAGAAGCTGGTGCTGCAGTTCGCCAAGATCTGTGCGGGCAACACGTGCCCCATGGATGCGGCAGTTGGCGGGATTGTGGCCCAGGAGGTGCTCAAGGCCTGCAGCGGCAAGTTCACGCCCATCTATCAGTGGCTCTACTACGATGCATTGGAATGCCTGCCGGTTGCTGGCGTTACCGAGGCCGATGCCCAGCCTCTGGGCTCCCGGTATGATGCACAGATTGCCATCTTTGGACGCAAGTTCCAGGAGCAGCTGGCCGACGCCAAGTGGTTCATTGTCGGAGCCGGCGCCATTGGCTGTGAGCTGCTGAAGAACTTTGGCATGCTCGGCCTGGGCGTTGGCAAGGGACAGATTTTCGTCACCGACATGGATCTCATAGAGAAATCGAATCTGAATCGCCAGTTCCTGTTCCGTCCGCATGACGTGCAGAAGCCCAAAGCACTCACAGCCGCGGCGGCCATTAAGCGTATGAATCCCGACGTGAAGGTCACTGCATATGAACTGCGCGTGGGCGCCGAGACGGAGAAGGTCTTCTCCGAGAGCTTCTTTGGAAAGTTGCACGGCGTGGCCAATGCCCTGGACAATGTGGATGCCCGCATTTACATGGACCGCAAGTGCATTTTCAATCGCATACCGCTGGTCGAGACTGGCACACTCGGCACCATGGGCAATGTCCAAGTGATTGTGCCATTTGCCACAGAGTCGTACAGCTCCTCGCAGGATCCGCCCGAGAAGAGCATACCCATCTGCACGCTGAAGAACTTCCCGAATGCCATCGAGCATACGCTCCAGTGGGCCCGCGACGCCTTCGAGGGCGTCTTCAAGCAGTCCGCCGAGAATGCGGCCCAGTACATTGCCGATCCGCAGTTCACCGAGCGCATCATTAAGCTGCCCGGCATTCAGCCCCTGGAGATTCTCGACTCTATCAAGGTGAGTTAGACATGGGGGATTACTTTGTAATGGATTTTGATCCTAATCCTAATCCGAATCATCTCTTTTTCGTTTGCAGAAAGCCCTCATTGATGACAAGCCCAAGAGCTTTGCGGATTGCGTGGAGTGGGCCCGCCTCTACTGGGAGGACCAGTACGCGAATCAGATCAAACAGCTGCTCTTCAACTTCCCACCCGATCAGGTCACCTCCAGTGGCCAGCCTTTCTGGTCCGGGCCCAAGCGCTGTCCCGATCCCCTTGTCTTCGACGTAAACGATTCGATGCACTTGGATTTCATCTATGCCGCAGCCAATCTGCGTGCCGAGGTCTATGGCTTGGATCAAGTGCGCGATCGCCAAGCCATTGCTGAGCTGGTGAAGAAAGTTCACGTAAGCAAAATGAAGGATATCCAACCAGGAACATTCCCCCAATACTCATATGTATTTGATTCCTTTTCGCTTAGGTGCCAGTGTTCGTGCCACGCTCTGGTGTAAAGATTGAGACCAATGAGGCAGCCGCTGCCGCCTCGGCCAATCACTATGACGACAATGAGGTCGATCAGGATCGTGTGGACAAGATCATAACGGATCTGCTGAAGAAGGCCGAAAAGCAATCGAAGATCACACCGCTGGAGTTCGAGAAGGACGACGACAATAACTTGCACATGGACTTCATTGTCGCCTGCTCGAATCTGCGTGCCTCAAACTACAAAATCCCACCGGCCGATCGTCACAAGTCGAAACTGATTGCCGGCAAGATAATACCGGCCATTGCCACCACAACATCGGTGCTGTCCGGCCTCGCTGTGCTCGAGGTGATCAAACTGATTGGCGGCCACTCCGATTTGCCCAGCTTCAAGAATGCATTCGTTAATTTGGCACTGCCATTCATGGCCTTTTCGGAGCCGCTGCCCGCCGCCAAGCTGTCGTACTACGGCAACGAGTGGACGCTGTGGGATCGCTTCGAGGTCACCGGCGAGTTGACGCTGCAGGAGTTCCTCAACTACTTCGAGGAGAAGGAGAAACTCAAGATCACCATGCTGTCGCAGGGCGTCTCCATGCTGTATTCCTTCTTTATGCCCAAGGCCAAGTGCTCGGAACGCCTGCCGCTGCCCATGTCCGAGGTGGTGCGCCGTGTCTCCAAGCGCCGCATCGAGTCCCACGAGCGCTCCCTGGTCTTTGAGATCTGCTGCAACGATGTCGATGGCGAGGATGTGGAGGTGCCCTATGTCCGCTACACCCTGCCCTAAGATGTTCCGGCCCTCATAGTAGCTGTCGAACCACCCCACATATAATTTTAATTTATAACGTAAATTATTTCTATTATTTACTCCCGTTAACGAGGCCTGGCGTCCCTAAACAAAAGCAAAGCAAAACAACAAGCAATTCGTGTAGCCTATGTGCATTTTAATGTTGGTTTTTTCACAAGCACACCATCAAACGAAAAGAAGGAGGAAAACGGAGAGGAATTACAAGAGCAAACCGGAGAAGATCTATAAATTACCTATATATATATATATATAAATATTATGTGCGTGTGCATCCTCTAAGGAACGGCAAAAGAATTCGCAAGCATACGATAAATACAAAGACTCGACTTAAAGCAAAAATACACACCACTTAATGGGGAAAACTGAAGAAACTCTCTGCTCAGCATAGTTATAAAGATGGAAAAACTGAAACTGAAACTGAACGAAAGAAGGATTTTATTTAAGAGTATTGGCATTTGGCATCTGTACGAAACGGAAATTGGGGGGAAAAATGTAGCAATGAGTGAATTTCACTTATACACATTTTTCTCTCATACAAATCGAGATATATATATTTTTTTTTGTATATGAACGTAACAACTAATTAAATTACATCATTGTATTAGAAGAGGAGAAAAGTAAAATGAATAAAGCTGTATATTTCATATGGTAAATGGAGCAGCGATGCTGATTCGATGGGAATATACATTTCGTGCAACACTTGACATTTGTAATCTCATTTCCCATGCCACTCACACAACAGCCGAATTGTAATGCATACTGTATATACCCTTGCCCGTACTATCCGTACCCTTGCCGTCAGTTTGGCAGAAAGTTACGTGACACAATTAAATATTTTATGCCCTCTCTCTCTCTCAGGACGTTTATGGAAGGAGGCTGCCACTGAAGTGCAATTGGCAAGTGCCGTAAAGTTGCGCTGCAACTTGCAGGAAGACGGTTCCTGGTTCCTGGATGCTGCCTGCCTGCCTGCCTGCCTGGATGGATGGATGGCGCTGGGTGGCTTCTTATAATTAAATATTACACGCAATGCAGCTGAAGTATAGCCAAAGTTATGCCTCCTTCCCTTCGTCTTCGCCTTGGTCTTCTGCTGCTGCTGCTGCTGCGGCTTTTGGGGCGAAAGTTGCTCAAATTATGCACTTAATGAAACAAACAGGCAAAATGCGTGAGCAGGAACGTGGCACGTGGACGAACTGCCAAGACGTTTCAGTATCTCCTCTCCTCCCTGTTGGCTGGGAGTCTGTTCCGGACAGCATAATCAAAGTTTTGGGCTCAACCTTTGGCTGGAAACTAAATTTGATAATGAAAATTATTATGATCTTAAGCAGAATTTGTGGCTTAAGTGAAATTAAGTTACATTAAACCATAGCAAGAGTGTTAAAGTCTGCTTACGACTTTTGAACTGTTAGTTTATTAGTGGTTCGACTTCGACAGTAATGCTGCAATATCGTATACATATATAGGTCTCATAGGAAAAACCTTCACATTCACAACAGCCTCGGACCCCTGACAGGATATACAATTTTAGACTCTGAAGACTTCTAGAGAGCCCTATGACTCCTTCAATTCTTTGGATTTAAGATAAACTGAACTTGGATTGCTATATGGAAATTTCATTAACGTAATACCCGCTTTTCTTTATGGTATATTGCGGCCAGTGCAGCAGAGATACGTATTTGCATGATCCACTTTCATGTAGTTTGTTGAATGTGGTTCTTTGTTGTTGGGGACTGGCCAGTGGCTTCTGCGTATTGTGATGAACCACTACCAGCAGCAGATACTTGGGTAAAAAATTCTCTGATTTTTGTATGTGCGTCAGCGTTTTGGATGATGATCAGCCACTAACCCAAAGGCTGTTGACTCATGGGGAATGGGGAACGAACCGCCGCGCGAGCGCTGGGGAAAGCACCCAGCCATAGAGCCGCTCTGCTTTCCGCTTCTCTCAGGTGAGAAAGATCGCGAAATGTGTGCGAGCAGAGGAGCTATAAATTTCCAAACGAATTTCGAAAGTGTCGAGGCGTGAGATTATCTTGAGTGGTCGTCAAACTGAACACACAGCTAATGGCAAGGGCATTGGTGGTACAATCTGTTGTATTCCAAGGAAGAGCATTGAAAATTCGTCCAAGAATCGGGGGGATGGCAGTCTTTTGTCTTCGGGCAACCTGTTTGGCTAATATCCAAAATATGCTACCATACAGACATTTCTGGCAATTTCTCATGCAAATCGGATATGGAATTTTAATTTGCTTTAAATTAATGGTTTGTTTTCCTTTGAAATGTATTGCATTCAATAAATTGTCACTCGGCCGTGATACACTTTCCGTGCGATAACGAGCCGAATTTGATTAATTAACATGTTGAGCGGAAAATCGGAATCAGAATCAGCCAAGGAAAGCCTCTCTCTCTGACATGGACAGGGACACACGGCAAGGCAAGGCAAGGCAAGGCAAGGCGAGTGCAATGCACGATGCATCGGAGCAGATGGACATGGGAGCAATTGTTGTGACAGAGTGCATTAAATGCATATTTTAATTAATTACTCGGATACTCGGAAAGACGGCGCCGCATCAGGCACAGTGGGACAAATCACATGTTCAAACAAGACACTTTCGGATGCACTGGGGATCACTTTGAATTGGAAAGGGAATGGAAGGTCAATTGGTTTGGCATTTCCTGTCCAGAACCATCTCTATGCCCTCTATATAGCAACATGCTCGTCCATATTTGTGTGCAATCATGAATTTCGGCTATAAAGAAGGCGAACGTGTGCGTCATGCGAGAAAGTCTCTGTCTTTTGTATAACAGAATTAGTAATTGCTTTGATTTCCTGCCTGTTGTCTGTCTGTCACCGGGGGAACGTGTTCGATTTTGCGCACTTGGAAAACGGTAGTATGTTAATCGCGTGTACCACCCCATTCGGTGGAGTATGTACATGCTACCACTTCCATTTTAGATCGGGCGGGCTGAGCATACTTTTCAATTGAGTCATAAACACAATTTTGCTTGCACAACGGACTCCATCCGCAGGAACATCGAAAACACACAACGTTTCGCCATATCGGTCAGACGTCCGTGCCACCCACCCACACAGAAAGGCCGCCAGGCAGCCAGGCAGACAGCCGGACTGGCTGTCAGAAGATGCATATGCCCCGGAGGCATTACCATACGACACATTGCCATAAATGATATATGTCACGAACTGAAGAATCGAGGCCTGTTCGGGGTTGGCGAGGCCCGGTCTGTAACTGTAAGATAGGGGTACAAATATATAGTTATATATGTGTACACAAATATATATTTATCTGTTTTGTGTGCACTTGTCGAGAAATGCAATAAACAAGATATCCGCCCCACTGAGTCATTGACTCCGAAAGTTACTAACCTTCCACTTATAATGCTGCGGCGCCTATCCCGTATCTGCATGCCACTTCGCCAGGCAGGAAATGGTACGATAGCCAGTACGATCCTGACCCTGGCAGCCAAAGACCAACAGTTCTGGGACAGTTCTGATGCATCGGGTGTATCGATTTCCGGCTAAAGTTGCGCAACGCACCGTCCATTGAGTAATAATTTGGGAGGTGACTGATCTGATAATACACTGATAACATAGTACTCGTAGTGAGCACGGCTACGTATGTACAAATGTATTTCCCAGGGCTCGACCATGTGTCACTTATTTATTTTGGTTCTCATTTTGTGGGTCAACTGCAGAGCGAGCTACACATACGTAAAATCCGTTTTGCATTCAATTTCGTGTTCAATTAGCGCTTGAACCCAAGACCTCCGTCTACAGAACTACAGAAATTGCCGGCAAACAGTTTCGGATACTTCTCTGAAGAGACAGTGCGTTTCAGAGGCATAGATCTGATCTAAAATGATGTTTAGATTGTGGTGTTTATCGCTAGATATATCATTAAAGACATCTGATTCAAAGACATCTTCTTAAGGGTTTCACAGAACTAAGTTCCGATATGGAACGCACTGTACACAAATGGGACTATACATGCATACATTTATGATCGAATCATCAATACATTGAAGTTCGAGTAGATCAACGTGTATCTCTTCTAGATTGGCTATGATTAAGTGATAACAAATTGAATTTAAATGGGCATTGATCATGATCATCAAATTTTAAACATATAGAAATATATGTACATATCCATATGCAGACGCTTACGGAGGTTATATTGATCGAATATTTATGAATTATTTATTGGGTTTCCCCAAACGATTGGATTGTGGTGTGAGTAAGTAGTACGAAATACGTATACGACGATGAGTCGACAATTAACAGGTTTGTCGTTTCATTCATAAATCTAACTGCTACACGGTACATCTGAAAAAAATCATTCATCATTTTGAATTCCCGGCAAGTTAATACTCAACAAATGGTAATCATATTTGAAGATCCACTGGATATTATAGGAGAATATTTTCGAGCTGACAAAGTTGATATCTTGAGAGTTACAATGTAACTTTTTCCTCAGTGCATACGATTTTCGATTACCTACGCCTTGTGGTGCGAGAGAGATAGATAGACAACTGCCTTTCCAGTCAACTGGAATCCTCTTTTGGCGTTCGCTTGCAGACTTCTTTTTGGGCATTATCTCATATGTACATCGCCACACGCTTTATTCGGCCATTCAAAGAACTGTCAAATCAATCATTATTATTATTATTATCCATTACTAACCCGCAGCAGCAGGGCGATCAAAATTGGCCATCATCTGCTTTGTGCTTCGGGCTCCGGGCTCCCGGCTCCGGGCTCTGTTCATTGTGCAATCCACAAGTGGCGCCAGGTCTTAGCATAAACGTGTTAAGACTCGCACCGCTACGGACTTCCAAGTGGGTTTGAAAATCACCCAGGGCGTGTTAAATTGAGGTGAGGAGTTCCTCCAGATAGTCTCTTATTTGAGTTCAGTGCAGGCAGAGAAACAGATCACACGCAGAGCGAGAGCGGGAAGTCCACACCTGGTACACTTACACCCACATCGATGCAATCTCTCCCAGCGAGAGAGAGAGTAAGAGAGAGAGAGAGTCACAACAGTTGCACTAAGAGTTCTGTCTTATCCTTAGTTAATCAGCGCATTACAGCATGCTCTCTGGTCTGTGGTCTGTGGTCTCTGATCTCCAGCGCTCTCTCTTTCTCTCTTGCCGACTCTGTCTCTCCGCTCGATTAATTGAGAAAGAGTGGGGGCCGTCAGGCAGGCAGCCGAACCAGCGGCGTTGTTTCCAGTCAAGAGTCACAGTCACTCTTTCCCGACGGTTTGCGCGGAGCGGTACCCGCCGCACTGTAACGCGAAATAAATAATTTAAACGCGATTTTGATATACATAAGAATTACATTAAATGCAGGGCAGGAATAATAAACCCATACCGAAACACGAATAAAGACGCATCGAAAGAGAGGCGTATGTTGTCGTTGTTCTCGCTGCAGTGAGTGCCGCCGCCTACTTATCGTCTTTTGTGAGGGAAACAAAAGCCATCCGTCAACGTGTGCGTGTGTTGTGCGTGTGTGAGAGCGAGTGGGTTTCGGATCGGCACTGGAATCCGCATCGGGATCGGATCGGAACGGAACGGAACGGGGCTGGCTAAGAACAACAAAGGCTTCCTCCTCCTTTGTAAATGCGTCGCGTGCCAAATTAGTTGTGTTGTTGTTGTTTTTGTGGCAATAGAAAGGAGGAATGGAATAGCATAAGCTAATGTGTATTTAATAGTGCGTCGTCTCGTGTGTATTTTCAAAGTTTAAATTTAATCCATTATTCCAACACATACAAGGCTCCCCACCACGCGACGCCACACCAGCCACCAGTAACACTCCTAATAGTGCGGCCACCACCAAGGCACCCCCGGTTCTCCTTCCACGCTGCCCCCTTCCAGCGGCACGCATTGTGTGCGTCATATGTAAAAGAGGAGCGGGAGTTAAGGACAGAGAAGCAGAGAGAGCTGAGGAACGAGACGAGCTCCAGGAACGGAACAAAAGGAAAGAACAGCTGGAGAGGAGCAAACAGAACACTCGCGGGTCCAAGACGCAGAACTTGGCCACAACAAACCCGAAAGAGGAAGAAACACGAAACAAAACAAAGCATACCCCCTCCACCACTGTGTCTGCGACTGCCACTGCGCTTAGTTTCTGCTTCCGTTGTTGCTTCTGCAGCTGTTTCTGCCACTGGCGCCGGTGCCACTGCGCGTGTGTCAACCCTCGCGGTCGCGTCCAAACGAAAAATTAACAAACAAAAAAGTGGCAAAAGTTCAATTTCCAATTACGAATCGTTAGTCCAACACCGAAACTAATTCCAGTCCGAAAAAAGGGCTCCGAAAAGCGAGTGAATCTCATATTTAGTGAAGTAAAGTGAAACGTTTTTCTTTCAACAAAATAAAAGAGATAACAAAACAAAACGACAAAGAAATGTGTTCCACATGTGTCGGTGGCCTGCTGCTGCTGGCTCTCTTTGTTGCACAGACAAATGCCATCCAGGATCTGCCGCACGAGCATCATAAGCATGTAGGAGAGAAGCAGCAGAAGCAGCATCACCCGCCCACCGCAGACCACATGGAGTTGCAGAGCGGGCGGGCCGGCAAGCCGAAGAGCGTCATTTCCGAGGATCTTATGGTGAGTGTGGGCAGTGGACCTCAAGTGGATTGTGTTTCCTGTACGAGTACGGAGGGGATCCAGTCCAAACTTAAGAACTTGTTCCACTTCCCATAGAGCGTTCTCTTTCGGATAAAAACCCATTTTAACGAAACCAATCAATTGGTGTATGAATGATGAGTGGCTGTAATAACATTTGACACAATTCCCAATCAATGCAAAAACATTCAATATTTATTCCGAATGTGGAAAACTTAATAAAAATCAACCATTGTCGGGGCTGCAATCGCCGCAGTGCAGTGACATAAATAATTGACGATTATGGATCTGCATGGAAAATAAACTAAAATTAAATTCCCCAACTCAAGAGAGAGAGAGAGAGCGAAAGAGAGAGAGCGAAAGAGAGGGAGAGAAGTGCCTGCAGCCGGAGGTCAGGAGAAACAACAGCAGCCACACAACAGCTGAGAATACAATCAACATGCAACAGCGAGCAGGCAAATGCTCATTGCTGCTGCAGTTGCAGTTGCTGTTGCAGTGGCAGTGGCACATCCAGTGGCAGTTGCAGTTGCACTGGCAGACATTCATTCATTCCGCGCTCTCCCTCGTGTCCGTATACGGAATGTACATATGCATATTCCGAGCAGAGCGGTGGCACACCATCAAGATAAGGCGAATCCAAAGGCGGCGGACGCCGTGCCCCCACCGACTGCTTCTGCTTCTGCCTCAGCGGCCTCTCATAGGCCTGACCCCAAAATCCCAAAATGGTCTATACATGCCACGTACAGTGCGTGTCGGAATTGTAAGGCGCCCAACAATGTTTTACAAATTATTCGTTGTGGCTATTTTTCGGTATTTAATCCAAAAAAAATACCAATTTGCTGCTGGTTGTGCTGACCGTTTACTTATGGGAATTTTGTACAGCAAATGCACATCTTTCGCTGTAGGACCAGTGGTACTTCACCACTGTAACGCACTGTCCGCTGTGTGTGCACTCATTTGGTACAAGAAATGAGGGCCAGACCCCCTATCCGATCCAGCCCCTACCGTCCGATCCCCAGTCTGGTGGCGAGTGTGTGGAGGCCCCCATCCCCAAGCACAATGCACGCTTATTGTTTCGGCGGGGCCTGCATCCCAGTGGCCCTCGATGCACGAGCATGTGGCTCCACGATAGGACATTTGCTTGAGCTCTTGTGTGTGGATAGAGTTAATGAGCGCGGGCGCCTTTTTAATCAAAATAACAAAATATGAGCAATTTATTCTTGGATTTTCCTTCCTTTCTTTCTTTCGCTCGCCCGTTCGTTCCTGCCTGCCTGCCTGCCACATTTTGTGTGTGGTGTGCCAAGGAGTCGCCGGGGCAAGTTCTTAAAGGCGCGCCAGGACGTTGAACTCCTCGCCGATGAGTCAGCAGCGGGGGCACCAGACAGAGGCCTGGGCGGACAGGATGTGGAACTACTGTTTACGTATTCGAGGCAGTCGGTTCGAAAGTTGGCATTTATTAAAGTGCGAAAATGGTAATTGGAAGGCAGAGAATAAAAAGATGTAAAGAAAGCGGGAGAAATGCTAGGGAGAGCTCGACCTCCTCCGTCTGGTGCCCGCATATTGTTTATTTAGTAAGGACATCGAAGCCAATGGATGGATGTCCCAGCCGCCGCTTCAATGTGCAAACATATGTGGCATATAAAGAGGGGTATATGCAGCACACACACATACATACATACCGGGTATATGCAGCGTCATATATGGAGCATTGTATGGAGGAGGCGTATGTATAGAGAGAGCGAAAAAAGAGAGTGAAACTGAGAACACGACGTCTGGCGGCTATGTGTCGCCGTCGCCAGCTAGGCGCTGCCGTATGCGTCGTAGCCTCTCGGTTCAATAAACGCACCAATACACACACACACACACACACTGCCAACGAATTGTCCGCATACACTCACGCACTGGCAGTCGCAGTGACAGTCACAGTCGCTGTCGCTGTCGCGCTTATGAGTGGCGTGTAATCAAATGAAATGATGAAAACGAGTGGCAAAAGACAAGAGGGCCGGGGCGCGTAAGACGTTGCGGGGTGCAGCAGGGTCACGGCATTGCTGAATGCCCCAGCGGAAGTTGTCCGGAAAATACTGTACTAGAAAGTGAAGTTATCTCTCTCTCTCTCTCTCTGCCCACACGAGTCGACCATAAAATACACATTTGCATATCCACACGCACTTCAGTTCTATATGTATGTATGTATGTATGTATGTCTTGCTGCCACTGACACTGAGACACTGCCACAAGACAGCGGAGGGGCAGGGGGGGAGCCCTAACAAACTGTTGCAAATTTGCTTTCAAGTTTTCGCAAAATTCTAATTGGCAAAACTCATGGAAATGGAAATGGAAATGGGAATGGAAATGGAGCAGGAAACTCCACAAGGAAGTCGTCTTGTCATCAACAGACTCTTGTGGACAGCCAAACTTTTATATTTTGTATTTTGTACTTATGCATACATCAATTATTGTTGATTGCTGTATGCGTGGGAGGATCTCCGACAGATCTCAGATGGAATGGAATCGGTTGAACAGGTGGATGCTATTCCTCTTTCAGAGAACTTTCGATGATTGAAGCTTTTAATAAGGAATTCTTTGGTCTTTTCATTGGAAAACAAAGCATTTATATTTTCGAGTATATATATTTTTTCTGTTTAAAAAAGATTCAAAATCTTGAAATTATTTATTCCAACACTGCACCGTGTTTGCATTCTTATCAATGCTCATAAAATTCTGTTGAATGTAATCTTTGTGGAAGTGTGAAATGTATTCTTTAATGTTGATATTTTTATAGAGAGATTATCAAAAAGTTCTTTGAATTTAAGAGACATCTCGGAGAGGAGTGTGCCTGCCGATCAATCCCAATCCCGTTCCCATTTACCCAAAAAAGGAAAACCATAAACAGTATTGAAATTATTCGTAAACATTCTCCGCATTACTCATATTTAATGGCTCCATTGTCAGGGGGCCTACAAAAGTGTCAGAATCGACGGCAGTTCCTCAGTTCCTCCATAATTCCCTCACATCCCTCCTCCTCCTCCTCCTCCTCCGCCTCCGCCTCCGCCTCCTTCTCTTTGGGAATGCAATTAATGCAGTTGATGCCGCATTCGAGTGAAATTTCGTTGATTGTTTTATGGCTTCCTGGTAGGCGGAGCCAGGCAGAAGTTCCAATTCGATCGGTTTTATGGGCAGCACTCAAAAACACAATTCGAAAGAGCATGCCTCTTAAATAGGGCTCATGCGACAGTTCTTGGAGCGCCAGTTGAATGCACCAGGCGGACAGTCATAAAGTGGGAAGAGAGAGAGAGACTCCAGAAAGAGATCTGATCGTGTAGTTATTCGTATAAATGTCAACTCCATATGCCATAATCAGAGACAGGAAAAGAGTGGCAGCTCCCCGAGACTTGGAACAGATTAAATGTGCTGTTATTAATTAACTCGAAATGCTGCTGATTCACTGTTGCAACAGAGACTGGGGCTGCGACAGGGGCAGCAGTACGGGTGTAAGGCATTAATAAATTGAGTAGCACATTAACGTGATTATCAATTACAATAAAAGATATTTCCGTTGGGAGAGTGCTGACTGTTTGCTTTCGAATAAATTAGCATTATTTTAAGGCACAAGTAATTTGTCTGTCAGTCAGCCAGAGGTGTACAAATAATGACAATCTGTTTATCTGTTTATCCCAGTGACAAATGCCGCTTGACACACAACTGTGTGTGTGTGCCACATGCGTTAATGAGACTCGGATTCGATTGGAGAGCAGGAAATCCCAAAACCCCCCTAGCTACCAATTTGTGACTAATAATTTAATACGATTTGGCTTTTGTTTAACATTTAGCATATGATTAACATAATTATTAATAAAATTAACAATATCCTTGACTCATCTTTCGTGGTATTTCTACTCAGGCAAACAATTTGATTTTTTTGGCAAGAAACATAAATAAATATTCATAGGATTATACATAATTTTGTATAATCTTATTTATATTCTCTAGGAAATTATGCTCTTCTTATTTTTTGTTATAAAACTCCAATTTAATGTCCATTATTCGGACATCCCTTTTCCTAATTAGAGCATTTTACAAAAGGGTAAACCACTTTTCAACAACAACTTTAATCAAAGGACCTTTCTGGTCAGCCATGCAACAGGATGCATGCTTTTACCTGTCGTCAGAAGAGTTTTTTATTTTTTGTATTTTAATTTTTATTTAATTTCGCTTTCCATACAAAACAAGCGACGATGTGGCAGTGGTGGCACAGGTGGCACAGGTGGCACAGGTGGGCGAAGCGTTAGATACCCTTGCAGATGCCATCGCTTAGCCATATGGCGACTATATTTGGATTGTGATTCAGAGTGTTTTTCGTGCCAGAGCTATGACAATAATCAGAATACCCTTCTTTCCCCAGGCTCCCTGGAAAGTGTATGGATAAAGTGGAGTTTTATTTTCTATTTATTTTTTTAATTGTGTCACGTAGGCAACTGCATTCGGCCATAGAAAAATCCTGCATCCTTTTTAGCGGCAGCTGCAGTGGCAGCAAAATGAAAAACCAGCCAGTAGTCGTACCTGGAATTGTGTGTGCCGCTGTGCCGCTGCTGTTGCCACGCATTGAAATTCAAAGAGCGGAAATATTTTCGAGCCGAGCACAAGAACAAATAATTCCCAATTTGCATTGGCCAAAAGAGTGCGCGGAATGCACAAAAACCCCGCCGCGAATACCAATGAATAGTGCCGCAAAAAGCAGGTAAAAACCAGATGAAATCGAGACGGCTATTATCCTGTAAGTGGCAGAGAGATGGAGAGATTTCCCTAGATTTGTGGCGGTCAGCACGTTCCCTGTGTGACGTGTATACCCCTCGGGCACGTGGTATCTCCATGGAAACGTGCTGGTTTCATCTAAACCAGCAAATCGAAGTAAATAGGAAGTATTGTCGTTTGTTTATGTACACGATTCATATTCTTAATTAAAAGCTGATAACAGCAGCAGC